TTGCGTGAACGAGTCACAATGAGTCAAGGAATATCCTTTTTTGTTTACTGAAAATTCCATTTCTGAAAATTGTGGTTGCTCCTTTCATATAGGAATAAAAATTGCCATGAAATTTATAAGTGTTCTTTTTTAAATTATGATTTAACTTGAACGAAAATACATTCGTTGCAATTCCTGTCGCAAGTTTTTTCTTGTAATGTAACAAGTACTTCAAAAAAAAAAAAATTATAAAATTGACGATTATCTTCTGTTAATATTAATTCAAATTTATCTAAATCTTGGCTTAGATTATTCGATGAAAATTTCTTCAAACAATCTTGAATGATCCTTCGAACGTAAGAAGATATGCTCACCGAAGTTGGAACGGTTTAATGCCGCTACCGTCGAGCTGAATGAACGTGTTACTTTGTGCGAACATAAAAGTCTTCTCGTAGCCGGATTCCATGAAAGTTAGTTCCTGTGAAGTAGTTCTTCAAGTACATTTACGTTGAAAATACTATCCCTCCAATTACTCTTAACCACTTACTCTCAATCTCCACTTTCTCACATAAATAACTACACTATATTAAAAAAAAAATTAAAAAAGCAATTTTCTCGTTGAAATTTCGAGAAATCTTTTTACCTTTCCTCTTTGGTGCTTTGGCACAGGCGGTTTCGTTGGTACTGGCGGCGTGAAAGTTGGTCGCGAAGTGATGGCGGTGGTAGAAGGCAGTGTGTTGGTGGTTGCGGTGCTTGTCACGAATACGCTCCCTTTTGTCACCAGATAAGGTGGCAACGTATCTGAAGAAATGAAAAAAAAAAAAGGACCAATAGAAAATGGTAAAAAATCGAGAAGAAACATTCTTCCTTAACAAGTCTTGTTAAATCACGGAACAATTGAATAAACGAGCAAAATAATCAATGCTCCTTACGTTCAGGACCACCCACGCAATAGTGAAGACACTCAGCTTCCGAGTGGAAGCGATTCTCGTTTCCCAAACAGCCACCGTAAGGAAAAGTCCTGCATTTTCCTTCAGTCTTGTTGAACGTCCATTTGTGAACGTACTGCTTGCACGGTCCTGGCTCGGTTCTCACTAGACACCTGTCAGGAAACGTCCTTTTCGTCGTGGTGAACGACTCCATTTCATCGGACAGATCGATCTCTGACGAATCTGTCTGATTGGCTGAAACGATCGCGCAAACGTTCGCCCAAAGGAGGATCCTGAAGATCCATTTCTTGTGGCCAGTCATCGTTGTTCCCTTTCTGCAAATGGAACAACACTCTATCTCACAATCCTTCTTTTTCTTTGGAAATAACAAGACTGAAAGTTTCTGACAATACTTTTGTCAATTTTATTCGGAATAATTATTTTTGAAAATCGTGAAATGAGATCCAAATGGAAAATCGAAAGCCTACAATTCCATCTTCCTTTCATATTCAACCAGAAATGAATTAAATACGAATTTTAAGCTTAGACAATTGTTCACAAACTGACACTCGATTACTACGAGAGAATGTGAAAAAAGGTTCAATTAGTTTCCCATCGTAAAACTCGAAATAGTGTTATCAAAAATCGCAAACCTAGTTACAGTTCCATCTTCCGTTCGTATTAAACGAGCAAGTAATTGAAGAAAAAATTTTACGCTTCAAACCTAACACTTAACTGTTTCGACGAGTCCGTAATACTTAATGTGAAAAAGTGTTCAATTCTTATCCCATGGTAAAACACTCACTTTCCACGATCTCTCGCGACAGCACCCCTTCGCTCATAATTCACAGGAAAAAGTCCAAGCTACTCACAATTTCTCACATTTCTCACGAATTGCCTCGTTATCTGATCCGGTATTTTGCGCATTACCAATCCATTGGTTTTCGGTGGAACAAGATGTGTGTACACGCGAATGAACAAAATGAGGAAGAAAAGGTGAAAAGACTGGCGTTAGACCGCGTTAGATCTCACGTGCTAAGCCGGTCTGTGACAGTTTTCTGCGTCCAAACATTGAGGACGCACGAATCTGCGTACCTTGATGTGCCGTGGTCCAAACGAGATCGCGACTAGCCAGAGGACAGGATGTGACGTCAGAAGGCCCCCGGCAAGCACGACGGCGGCTGCGAGTCAATTGTCTTCTTTCGCACTGACACACCGATAATCCGATCCCACACGAACGACACGCGTGTGCACACGCCGCCACGCACTGTCACGTCTCCTCCTCTTCTTCGCTCGCTAGTATCTGCCTTCACCACCTTCTCTCCTCCGGCCTCGGCGACCCCTTACGCTGCCACCTTCCTCAGCATCGCTCACGGCCTCAAGATGATTCGAGTCACTTCGGGTAACCGACGGGGAAGCTTTTTTTCAGATCGATTCACGGATGCCTCGCGCTGACAATGAGAGAGTACGATCGGAGCTGGGAGCGTGGCTTGATGTTCCAGCTACTCGAATGCTGGGTGTTTCGTTGATGGGTTTGGGTGTTCGTGATGTTAGATCATTGATGAATTGAATTTTTTTGTTATTTAATTTTTGTGGGTTTGGAAGGAATGAGTTTGCGTGTTAGGTATCGAGGGACGTTAAGACGATCGGTCAACATTTCAGGATTCTCAACATTATTGTACGATACTGAAATATTGACAATGTGTATCGATCTCTGAGGGTCTCTTTACGGATACAATAATGTTGCGGACATTGAAATGTTTTATTTTTTCCAGTATTTTTTTGAAGTAGTATAAGTCCACTTATTCTTATATTGAGATATTCAAAGGTTTGTCTTTGAATTAAGTAAAAAATATTGGCAAACGTTAATAATTTCGTCTAATGTTTCTAAAATTGTAAACATGTTAAATGTTATTATGCGATAATAATAATTAATATTGTTAAAGTGAAGGGTAAATAGAGTAAATTGTTAAAATAAGTAAAGATAAAATGAAAATAAAGTAAATGAAAGATAAGTAAAGACAAATGAAAATGTAAAAGGACTTGGAGTGTGATGCTTTTGTTATTTTGAAATTTGTAACAATGAGATTAAATGAGGTGAAATAATTTCACAGTACAGTGTTTAACAAAAGTTTCTGAACTCAGATTGCAAAAACGATTTGATTTAGGCATTGATATATTTTTTGAAAATTTTGAACATTTTAGACATTCGTCATCTTTCGGCAGGCTTGTCAAATTATGAAGGCATCATGTTTCTTTTTTTACTGTCTTCTATTCTACCACAATAAGTTATTAAACTCAGAATTTTTGTTCTTTTAAAAATTGAATTTATTTAGAAAGAAATTAAATTCACTGTTCATTTAGTAGTAAATATTGCTAAAGGGCAATTTATATTACTACGTTGATGTTGCGTACAGTGTTTGGTTCATTATTGGACCAAGTAAATTATTGTCAATCTTGCAAAATTTTTTTAATAACTTATTTCAGCACGTTGCAACAGTCGAGTGCTGGTAGAACATTGCTCTAATAGCTCCAGCTCCAATCGAGATTGCAAGGCTATGAGCGAATAAGAGCTTGAACGAATTGAGATTGACCAAATGTTGAAATGTAACAATTAACATAATCAGTCTTAAAGCCGTCAAATGTACGTTGATTTTTACCAGCGGTCGAGTGACTAAAACATTTCTTTTATACTTTCATTGCATTCAGAGTTTTAGAAAAAATTTTAATATTTATTAATAATCCCAAAAACTGGTTCTTCAATTTTTATCATTGTTTGAATGAATAAAAATATGGTTCTCTCCATAAAAAAAAAATTTATACGAATACTTTCACTACATGCAGAGTTTCAAAGAAAAGAGAAGGGAAAAAGACAATGTGTCAAGAAATTAAAAAAAAAATTCAAAGTTTTCAAGAGTTTCGAAAAAAGAAAATCCCACTTTTGAAGAGTTTCAAAAAAAAATTCAACTTTTCAATAATTTTAAAAATTGGTCCATTTATGTTTATCGAATGAAACAATTTCTCAGGATGTTGAAAAGTTGAGACAAACCTGCACGAGACTAAGCAGCCCGGAAACTCGAAAGAAAGGGAATCGAATATCCATCACTGTCCATCATTGTCTCCGTCATCGCGACCACTTCTTCTTATTCGTCTTCCTCCTCTATCTGTTATTCCACCACCTCCTGTTGCCGCTGCTGTCGCTGCTTGTAGCAACTAGACACTAATTTATTAATACCACTCCGACTGCTACTCTCTCTTACTCATCACGGTTTATTGACTTTCATTGCGATCCCGTGACCAACGACACGTTTTCGCATAACCCCTTATCCCTTTAACCCCTACCTTCATGCTTCTATTCCTCATCGATTAATTGAACGTAACTAGGAAAATTAGCAACATCGAGAGTGTCCCTTCGAATCTTAGGATAAGATTGCATTTTCTAATACTGGATATACATACTATATCCAGCAGCGTTCGAATAATTAATTGAAAATTAGAAAATTAAAATGAATCAAAAGTATGACAAATTTTGGACCTATTTTGAAATTAATAAATTAACACAT